AAAAAAAGGTCTATTATTCTTTTCTTTGCTCCTGTAATGAAGCTTGTCAAACATATAAAACCATAAAAGCATACTGCTGAATACTGTTGTTCCAAGGCCAATGTTAATGCAGCCAGACAACAACCACAAAATTGTACAGTAAACTACTATGCGAATAATAATTGTTAACACAAGCATGCAGCTAAAGTTACCTGTACTTTTGTCAGACGTGAGCGAAGATTACTTAAAGTTAGATCATGAGTTCGCATAAGACCCTCAATGATTTCTCCTTCATTTGCAGAGTTCAAATCCCTTTCAGAAATTTGAGGCTCAACTTTCTGACAAAATCGCACAAGATTAATTTGACTGAACTCAACTAATTCAACTTTCTTAAATTTCATGAAGTTTATTTCATGCGGTGAAAGAGTTTTACCGTGATCAAATGAGAGTTATCAACCTCACATGTGGCAGGCATGGAGAGTGTAATTTTTGGATCTTCACTGATGTGTATTCTTTCCCTGCTTTCACTCATCATGTTGGGGGAGGGATTACTTTGACCATCATTGGCATTATTAACTATTTCCCTCGTTTCACATTTGGTAGTGAGGGATGAGTTAGTTTGATCTTTGTTGTTGGGAGTTCTATCTTTCTTTCAAACCTCTCAACCAGAGAACGGGTCCTTCCTCGCACTACGGCAACTGCCAGAAGCAAAATTTAATATTATACCTTCAGTGGTCATTCTAACATACAAAGCCACATTAGTAAGAGATGGCAAACCTCCATTGACATATTTAACTGGACTAATCTCCTCATTGCAAGGGATGGACTCATTACCTGAATAAAAAGAGAAAATTACTTCCAAGAGTAAAACCAAAAAAAAAAACAAGTAATCAGCCAGAGTATACAGGTCATACTTGTGACTTGTGAGTTGGCTTATACATGGCATCTCAGCTTTCTTTTTTAAAATTTTTCAACAGAAAATTGAAGCCAGCCACAAGAAACAAATATCACCATATCAGGGTAGCAACTCACTAAAAAAATATTTTTCTATTTTTATTAAATATTAATAATTATTTAATTAACGTTATTATTTTATTGATTATCAATTAATAAAATAAAATATTTCATAGAAATTAATAGATTAGTAGAAAAAATTCATAGAAATTAGAAAGAAATATAAGCTCGGGTCATGGTAATAACCAGTTATCAAATTAACAAGAGAAATAGTTTTAGACAATTATGTCATGTAACAATAAACTTACGATGTGTATGTGTGTAGGAAGAGAGAAGTAAATAGGATAAGGTAAGATAATAATGACATGGATAGGAGCAGTCGACCTGTTCTAATGTAATACCAAGAACTTACGTGAATCCTGTTCAGAGAGTTTGTGTGGAGAAAAAGCCTTGTCAAATTTGTCTGCTACGCTCTTGATAGGATATTTGTCTTCACAAGAATCTTTGACTTCATCTTTAGATCGCAGCTTGTTAAGATCTTCTACATTGTCTAATTTACTTGTCGTATTCTCAAAAGTTCCAGAACCCACATCTGTTGAAAATTTTTCTGCATCACTTATTCCAGTAGATGCTCTCCGTATATGAGTCGGCTTGAGTAGCATCCCAGGTTTTGTCCTTGAAAAATTGATAGCTTCTTTCCCAGTTTTAGCTGGGTCATTACCACCAGAAATGTCCCGAGGTACAATGTTTGGCACAAAGAAAGACTTCCTATGTGCTTGTTCATTTGATTTTGTGTGAACTCCAGTTGTAGGACTCTGCTTCAGCATTCCCAAATTACAAATTTCCTTGGAATCTTCCATGAGATCAACTTTTGGAGAATTGGAAGAGGCCGATCTCTGTAAGGAAACAGGTTTCCCTCCAGAAGCTTAACGAGGAAGAAAAGAATTTTATTAGATCAAGAATTTGGAATGTATTGAGAATTAAGAATTACAAATAACTGGGATCTGCATTCATCATGCCAAATCCTTCGTGAATGCTAGTGAGTAAATTAAACTTCCAACTTAAGTCTCTAGATAGTTATAAGTAGAATCCTTCACCCCAAATAAAAAGATTTGATACAATGAAAGCAGCATCTTATAAATTCATCTGTTAGGTGATCAGGATGTAAAAAACCATATTTTGCAAGTAAAATTTCTAACAAAACCAAATATTATATCAAATTATTCCTTCAACAAACCTTAAAACATGCAGGGATGCAGTTCGTACACGGCATCAAGATAAAATAGGTAATTTTGAAGTATCAGAAGATTAATACAAGTTGGGTTTATCAAATAGAAAGATAAGGGGGAAAAGGAAAGGCAGAAGGAGTTTAAAAGTGTGACTTAGGGAAGACAAAATATAGGCAACTTACAATCGATATATATGTTCTTTATCTCTTTCGGTTCACTGTCAGGAGACATAAAGTGCAACCCAGAAGTTGGTCCTACATCCATCTCCACTTTCTCTGGTTGATTCTCCTGAAAACTGAGCTTCTGATCCACACCACCTTTATTCTTGGGTTCCAAACCAGTGCCATATGGCTCAATAAACTAATATATAAAAAACTATGCTCAAAATAATGACGGAGGAAAGTTACAAAACCAAGAAAATAACACACTGACATAGGACAAGCATAGAAAATGGCAGAGAAGGGAGAAAGAATTAGGGAGAGAAGAGGGGGATGGGGGAGGGAGAAAAATTCTGATATTTTATTTCATCAATTAAGATCGTCAAAATCTACAGCCCCGAGGATCATAAAATAAACCACAACACATATGCTGAAAACAAAAAATGAAACTATAACAGAGATAATCCCTAATATCAAGCATGCCAAAACTAAAAAGGAAATAACAATAAGCCTCTTGATTCTTGATTTACAGATAATTACCCACATTACTCTTTTTCCCATTCTTCATTTCACACATCAATAAGGTTACTTGACAATCTCGAAAGATTATAATGCTTGCCAGTTGCCACAGTCATATCACCTTTAATGCCGTAAGAGCAGATGATATTAATATCCATTTATGACATCTTTTTAATTTGTAATTTGGGAATCATTGTCTTGGATTGGGGATTTATTGTTTGTTTATCGATCCTTTTGAATTTTAAAGTCTTTTGGTATCTCTTATTCCTACTTTATATTCACTTGATCAATGCAAACTAATTTGAGTGGCGGTATACAAGGCATGTAATGTCATAAGGATTTTAGAATTGTTATTAAATCAAAACGAATTAAGAGCTTTAATTAGTTGTTCTTGGTTCCTATTCAGTTCTGCATAAACTTAAACCTCATCTTCGCTATTGGCATAAACAATATACAAATTATGCCATCATGTTTAGAAGTTATTGATGTCATCTTGCCATCAAGTTACTGAGTATGAAGAAATTCATTCTGAGCTACTCAAAAAATTATAAATAAAAAAATCGTGTTGCACCCATTTGGGAAAAAAAAAAGTCATAGTGGATCCTACTGATATATCTGCAGCCCAGACTCCAATAGAATTTCTGTAGTACGAGCAACCCAAAAGTTTCCCATCATGAATACAGAGGTCACCAAGAGTGGTCCACCCCATATCAACAGTGTCATGACATATTACAGGCTCCCATGAATACACCTGGAACATATAGGCATCACAAATTATGTTTGTGTTCCCTCCCAACTGCTGCATTACTACATAATCTTATCATCACAACAATCTGTACCTTTAAACCATCCTCAAGCCCAGCAAACAGAGCCCTTCCATCAGGATGGAAAGCTATTGAGCGTACTCCTGTAGCCTGTAGAAAGTAATTAGTTTAGTTTGAATAAGAGAAGAATAACTTTCATGTGTGAGACTAAATTTTCCCTATTTTACGCACGCACGCACGTGCACACATAACTAAAGTGCTTGTGCATGTGCTTGCACTTGGGTAAGCATACAGGCTTGAAGAATAAAAAAAATAGAGCATGTTGTTGGCCACACACTAGTAATTTTCACCCAAACTCATCAATAACCAACAACAATGTGATGGTCGGCCCAAAAAACTAACAACATGATGGCTCAATGGTAAAAACTGTCAAGAATTATGCCTCGTTGCTAAAGTTACCAATGAGTTTTCATACAAGTGGTATGCAACTGAAATAGATCTTCAGAAGAAAGGACATGAAAGAAGCAAATATGAATGCATAAACATAAACTGAACAAAACTTGTTCTTCTTAAACAGTAGAAAATGAAAATCAGAAACATTAAATACCTCACATCGAGCAGATCCAATCATTTCAAACGATTCTAAATCCCAGAATTTCACTGTTCTGTCTGCTGAACCTACAAAATGTAATTTTAATTTATTATACATTATGTTTCTTACCCTTTCAATACATTTAGAATTGTAATCACCATGTGTAGGGGGGTCAATGGACCCAAACATGAGTAGGAATAGGAAACCCCTATTGATGTGCTACTCTCCTTCCCCCAACCCCCCAAGTGAGCCAAAAGCAGCATGCTCTATGTACTAAAATTGCATGAGTTTTAATTAATTTTGACCAATAATACAAGGCAATTTATTTATTTCCATTTAGCACTAAAGATGATATTAAAGAAATTCCTGGGTACATTGCATGTATTTACACGCATCAGCCCAAATTTAATCTGAATGCAGAGGGCCTGCAGCCTGCCAATCAGAATGGGTAGAAAGTTGAGACATTGCAGGTTGCTTGAACATGCACGCAACGCACCCTAGAATTTCAATTTCTCATGATATACGTGTCAAAAAAATTTCTTATATGGAACTACCCCATAGATGCAGCTAGTCATTGTTCAACAAGAAATCCTTACAAAGATACTGCATGTATGCAACAGAATATGCTTCTACCCCACCAAACTGCTCCAAGTTCACTGAGTCACTAACTCACCTGTAGCTAGAAGAAACTCAAGTGGATGGAAATCTATGGACCTAATATGTCCTTCATGGAACCCGAAGTCATGCAAGAGCTTTCCAGCAGTTAGATCCCACACCTGTGCAATGGTGAGGTAGATCCATAGGCTCATTATTTTAACAAACGTTAAAATAAAATGTAAAAACATAACAAGGCCAAAGAAATTGCGCGCAATACGACAATGAATTCACATAGCTACCTTCACAGCATTATCAAATCCACCAGAAACTACCCATCGGCCATCTGGAGTAAATTTGATAGTACTAACACCTCGGCTATGACCCCTGTATGTGTGAATGCATCCTTTTTTCCGTATATCCCAAATCCTGAGGTTAGTATCCATGGAGCCAGATGCAAAAAACTCACCAAACGGATGAAACTCAACGGCTGTGCAGTTGGATCTGTGTCCAGTAAGAGTGCGAACCACTATACTTCGAGGATAGAAGCAGGTCTATTAGGAGCTTATTGTTAAATTTTGAAACACAAATCCTATAGTAGTTCTCAATTTGAAAAACCGAGACCTCAAAGCGATAACAGCACTCCTTAATTCACCTATAAGGTGATGCATGTAATGTAGATTATCTGGCATGTATTATAAGTGGAAACAGACAAAACTTCTAAGTTTATGTTAAGCCAATTCTTCCCTACTGTCAAATCTGAGCTCCCCAAATAACAAAACTATACAATATATTGCCCAAAACTTCAGCTCACGGTCATTCACTTACTCTTTGCTTCTTCCAAATCCCAGAGCTTTATTCCTCCACTTGATGCCCCAGCAAGAACTAACGCTTCTGCTGAATCAAAAGCCACAGATTCAACTGGACTAGTGTGACCACACAGGCTCTGCAAATATTTTCATTAGACGGAATTATTAGGTCAGAGTCATAGTTGGCATTGCTTCCATCAAACAGTAGTCCTATACCATGATTAACATCCAATCAGAAGAAATGCCCAAACGAACGGTTTCCATGAGCAACTATGGTAGAAATTTCCAGCCTTAAATTGACTTCATAATGAATGTCAATAGAGCAAAAACTATACAAGGAAACACGCTTTTCATCACGCTGTATAGATAGCATCACGTGAGATGAGGTACAGATTTAGGCTTAGTATTTAATATGAACCTGAGAGGGCATTCTTCAGTCACATACAAAATATAACTCCCAAACCGCTATAAAGTGCATATCAGAAATAGAACTTCCATCAAGGGCTTTAGCGGCCAAAAAAAAACAAACAAACAAACACAAACAAAAAAAAAGTTATCCTTCAAGGGCTTTTGACCCTGCAGTAGCCGTATGTCTAGACAACAAAATTTGAAATCAAACTAACCATTAAAGAAGTTGGCTTGCCAATCGTCCATAGATTGACCTTGTGATCATCCCCTCCTGTAAGAAAAAGCCGACGTGCCTTCTTCCCAATACTTAGACAATTGACGTTCGCTGAATGGGCCACAAATTCCTCTGTAGTTGTTTAGCTTAGGAAAGGACATTATCAAATAAACAAACATCTATACTCAACAGAGTCATCAACAGACTAATCAAGATTAAAAAAGAAAAGGAGAGAGGAAAAAAAAAAGAAGCAAGACCAGAATATGTCGAACCAACAATAAAATGGGAGGGAAAGAAAAAGCATGGATATAACACGTTAATTCGAATATTTTCCCTAGATTTCCAAAATGCTTCAGTTGATCTAAATCATCTAAACAAGAATGAAAAATAAAAGCTAAGATTACATTCCTATCTGCCCCGATTTCCCAGCAAACAAGCATAGAGCAAGACCTACACTTTTGACTTCGTCATAATTTCCATTTTGCTTCGAGAGCTTCCTACATTTTCATTTTGCATCAAATTTGTTTCGAAAACCGAAGGAGCATCCCTTATCTTCACAAAACAGAAAACCGAAATTTTGGGGGGGGGGGGGGGAAGAGTTTGCGGTTTCGACCAGTTCTGCCAGATTTCAATAGAAAGAGCTACTGGTAACGATGGTCTCACCAAATAAGACACAAAAACCAGTTCAATTTCAAGATTAGTAAAGCAGAAGCAGTTCCTGCTGAGCATTTTCTCTCAAATAATGCTTTATCCTCAAATAAACAGGATACGTAGTTTGTATCCTCGCTTAGCCATCTTTGCTTGGAGAAATCAGAAGCCAGCTTCCGATTCTGAAACGAAGATTCCTTCCGGGCGACGAAGTGATGATTACGACTTGGTTTTACTTCAAAATAAAATAAAAATATATATAACTGCTGCCACTCTGCGACTGCAACTGGGATTCAGAAAAAGAAGAAGGTAAAGAAAATGAGGAAATTTCACATGGAAACGGACGTTAGGACGAAAGAATAATTCCGATTCAACATTGAAAAATGTTTTTCCTTTCACAGGAAGCAAAAGAAAAGCATGGTGAGTCCTTTCTTCCTCTTTTGTGAGGGCCTTTTTATTGCTGCTTGACATAAAAAGAATGAAGCCGCTGGAAATCCAGATTTCTGACATGTATCAAATACACTCCTTTCCCTGTTCCTCGCTCAGACCAAAATGCCCCTGGATTCTTGCGGTTGTCCGCCCGAAATTACATAAAACCCTCCTTCTTGTCTTGTTGACGTGTCAGTTGCGGCCACAGTACTTCCTTGTATGGCCACATAATATTCATTAATTATTTAATAATATAAATTATTCTGCCAAAAAAATCATATAAATTAAATTTGAATAATTCTACCTAATTTAAATTACAATAATATTAATTATTAATTTATTATTTTAAAAATAATAAATGTTATTAATCATGATAATAAAGACTACATGGACACACCGAAACTTGCTGGCGCTTAGCAGGTCTTCATAGTTCCCTTTAAATGAGGGTCATTTCTTTTTCTTTTAATATTTTTGCTGAGTTGGTGGTGCTTGCATCAGGTCAACTAATTTATCTGCTTGAGTAAAATGAACTTTATTCACGCCAAACTTGAAAGGATCTAAAGTTATTTTTAATTAAAAAAAATTAACATAATGGGTTTCAGATTATCTGGCTTTCTTTAATTGCTTATATATAATCAAATTAAAGACCGCATTAAACTAGCAAGCTTCACTTAAATAACCCAAGGGATGCTTTAATTAACGTATACAATCACATCTGCTTTAACATTGTGGATTTGATTTTTGAAATTAATACATACCATTTTACAACTAATTTCTGAATATTAAGAAAACTAGTTAAATCAGTTATTTGTAATAAATAAATATTTAAATCAGTTATTTGTAATAAATAAATATTATATTTCTTAAAATATATCTATTAATCATGTATATTAAAACTAAACTCGTTGACATGTGTAATTATTATAGAAATTACTTAAAAGTAACATGAATAAATATTGAAAACAAAATAAATTGATGTTTTATACTATCTCTGATCATAATTATAAAACTTTATTTATAGTCTACAAACGAAATATTGTAAATAATACTAGAGTTACTTCTTCCGGGGTGTTCATACCTACTTTTGTTCTAGATTTTTTCTGTTTATACCTAATTTATAAGTTGATTAAAAGAGGTATTAGTTACATAATCAGGTCCATTAACAATAAAATGACGTAATGATGTGTAATTAATAGAAGTGTCAGGGAACAATTGTAATACTCACGGAAGGGAGTATTATTCCTTGAGTCAATGGGTCAAATGAGTAGAATGAAGTAACAAATTGGAAGGGAGTACATAAGGTAGGAAATTGACCAGTATCAAACATTAGGATATTCCTTTAACTATAATCACGCGTTTAATTTCTTCATGTTTAATTTTTCATTATTTAATGCAGACAGAAGCTTAGAAAGGAAAGTTTGTGCTTTGCTTTATTTCAATCATTCACCTGTGTTTCAACAATATGGATGGCCACATATCAACTGCATTCTAATTTAATCGGTTATTAATCATCGTGATTAACTAGTCGCCTATAATTAATCAATTTGACTCTTCCCTGTGGGTATATATATTTGATTAATGTCTCTCATAAACTTTAATTTAATTGGAATATTTATTAAATATGAATATTAAAACTCTAACTACACCTGTTTTTAATTCGCCGGACTGGGTGTTTGGATGACAGAAAAAACATTTTTAAAAAGTATCTTCACACAAATTGAGATAAGACTCCTCTCACATATTTGTTTCGTATATCATAAAATTATTTTTAAAACCGTGATTTGGCTTCTAAACATTCCCTTATTTCAAAATTTTTCTAAGTCACTTTCTAAAACCAAGCATATGGCATGGCATCAAGGAGACACATCACATTATTGAAGTGTGTAGCGTGTTGCGAATGTGCCATAAACTTTTATAAATTCCACGTATTTGTCTTGGATATTTTTCTTTTAATAATAATTACAAAAGCATCCATGATGACAAATCACATGGGATATTATATATATACTACCTCCGGTCCTTAATATAAGACCCCATTTGACTTTTAGTTTGGTCCTAATTATAAGACCCCAATCCATTTTGTCTCTCATATTTATACATTTTTTTCCCAAGATAATCCTTCTAATAATGATAGTTCTAACCAACACACTTAATTAGCAAGGATATTTTAGGAATGACAACACTTATTTGTTACAAATAACTGACTTAACTTACTTCTTTAATCTCCTCAAATTAGTCAATTGGGTTTTATAATTAGGACCGGAGGTAGTATATGAAATTCTAATGACAAAGCCATGATGTCCTCCGAACAGGGACACAGGCCGAAAGATCAAACAAGGCGGCAAAATTTTCCCCGTACTTATGCTCAGTAAATTAAACTCTAATAAAAAAATATACTCATCCACTTCTTAATATAAAATTCATTTAACTAATTTAATTAGATTAAAAAAAATTAAGTAAATTAGTTGATTATAAGAAATGTGACACGTTTTTTCTAAAATATCATAATCATCTTTCTTAATATCCCTTTACCTCTTTTACTTGATTATGTTTGAATGAGTATTCATATGGGTAATTTAAAAAAAAAATTGATAAATATAAAAAATGGGTCTTATATTTAAGATCAAAACCAACTCAACAGTTATGTCCTATATTAAACACCGAAGGAGTACATATAGATATAATATGAAAATACCTTATAAATGCTTTATAAAGATTGCGTAGCTAAAAAAAAATGATTCCCACTTTATTACCCAAAAAACATAGCTTGCCCTTTTGTGTATAAAATAATACTTCTTTCCATTTTAAATATAACAGCTTCATTACTGACTCATAAATTTTAAAAAGATTATTCAAATTAATTATTTGTAAAAAAATATTTATTGATTTTCTTAAAATACCCTCTTCCATTACCTTTATTGATGTAAACTCTTTTAATTAGTGATATATGTAATTAATAGAAATGATTTAAAATATTATAAATTAAAAAACAAAATAACTCGAATTATTATATTTAAAATTAAATATTATATTTTACGAACTACTATCTCCGGTTCTTAATATAAGAACTAGTTGACTAATTTGAGTAAATTGAGAAAACTAGTTAAATTAGCTATTTGTAATAAATACATGTTGTCTTTGCCTAAAATATCTTTATTAATTAAGTGTATTGGCTAGAATTACCATATTTATAATGACTAACTTATAAAAATAAATAAATATGAGAAATAAAATAAATTAAAATCTTATTTTAAAAGAGAAAAAATCCCCAAAAAAAGACCGCTGAAATTAAAAAATTGCACATAAGGACTCACTTACAAAATTATTGTCAAACTACATATTAATATTATAACAGGTCTCTATTTATATTTTTTCTATTTTGATTATTTTTTTAATAATTTTTCTTATTTAAAATTATTGTCAAGGCTCTAATATAATATTAACGAACCGGAGGGAGTAGTTCGGAATTATTCAGTTGTATTTGAACAGAGAAGGGCGCAGTGTCGTACCATATATTATGTGCAAGGAAGCAAGCTTGTGAGTTGTCGTTTGTTGATGTTGGAAAAGGAAAATGGGGTGTTGTCGTTTTCAATGTGCGTGCATGATGAATCTTCAATGTACTTTCTGGCTCCGGACCTTTAAATTTCAAAAACTTTAATAATGCATCCTCTCTGACAGTGCAATACGATCCTAATTCCTGTAATACCGTTCACCACATGATCATGTGCTTCGCCCGTAGCTTGTACGATTTGACTCTTCCTATTAGTACTTTTGGTCCGTGTTACAAACCCTTCTAACCATTTTAATATGACATGTTTTTTTAAATAATACTCCCTCCGTTCCTTATTATAAGAGACATTTGATGGTTATAGCATGTTCCAAAATATAAGAGACATTTAAAAGTTGTCTCTACTTTTTTGTGTTGATTTCCTATTTTACCCATATTTATTGTCTCCAACTCACACTCTCTCTCCTTCCCACTTCTCTTTCTTTTAAGAATTTATTATTGTTCTCTCTCATGCTCTCTCTCCTTATTAATGAGGGCATTTTTGGAAAAAAATTTATACTTTTTACACATTAATTGTTCTTAACTAATTTTAACTGTTTTTTTGATCAACGTAATTCGGTTATTTGTCTCTTATAATAAGGAACGGAGGGAGTAATTCTTTTACTTATTACCGGCTCATTTTTTTCTTACTTGCTCCTGTTCAAAATATTACCTCCTATTCTAATTATAAGAGTTAATTAATTAATTTAAAAAGATTAAAAAAATAAGTTAAGTTAATTATTTGTAATAAATAAGTGTTGTCTTTCCTAAATATCTTTGCTAATCAAGTGTGTTGGCTAAAACTACAATTATTAGAAAGACTATCTTATAAAAAAATTATATAAATATGATAGATAAAATGGATTGGAATATTATATTTATAATCAAAATAAAATCAAAAAAAATTTTATATTAAGAACCGAAGGTAGCATGAACTTTAAGTCTTGAAAGGGTGTGGATTTGCCTAGTGACTTAATATATTTTTTATAATTAATTATATGCCTCTCTCTGTTTTTTCCCCCCTCAACTCGTCACCTCTTTTTTTTCTACTCACTTTTTTCATTCGCTGTCTCCGTAAATAAAAATATTTTAACAAAATAAGTTACATTTTTTTATATATATTTAGGGTCTTTAATCTATTTTAACTCATTTTTAGGATTGTGTAAAGCTTACATTTTAGGATAAACATAACATGATTTCTCTAAGGTGCACTCAAATTCCAAACCTTTAAGTGGGTTTACCCCATAAGTAAATTAGTTTTAAAAAATAATAAATATAAAAAATAAAAGAGATTAAAATGTTATATTTAAGATTAAATATTACCTCATAGGAAGAATTATGTAAAAGGCATGTCTTGGTGATCTCGTACATTTCATCTAAATATTCCAAACTTATTATGAACGTTGTTAGTATGTTGCTTTTCTACACAAGTCAATATATGGTGGTTGTTAATTTTGTTATTCATCGATCAAATTCAACTAACTTG